CAAATAATTTTAGTTGTTCAATATTGATTAAAATGGAGATCTAAATACTAAAAATCGTACATTTCCATACTAAATAACTTCAAATTGAACGAAGTGTATTTTTTTATTAAAAAGTCAAAAAAAGCTTTTTATCAATTTCTTTGTCTTTACATTGGACATTCGTTTACAAAACTTTTTAATTTTTAAAGTGCATTTGTTTTGAACTTGAATTTTACAGACCTTTTATCAATGAAATATGCACAGTATTTGTAAATATAATGTTAATAGGGAAAAACAGGTGTCCATTTATTTGCTTGAATTTTCTATTAAAAAAACATCTTTAATATTAAAAACATCTGTTCCTAAATGATCTCAACCATAATACTGCAAATACTATGAGGGGCGCTGCTCTTAACGTCAAACTGTTTCGCATAGTTTGACTAACAATATATATTAATTGCTGTCTTCCTTTTCCATTTTTGATTTTTTTAATTWTATTAATTCCATGGCTGTAAAACTGTAAGTATTAATGGCGTGTCTCCATATTGAATCTTACCTAAATCATGTGCAAATTTCCCAGATACTCCATAAATGTGAACAATTCAAAAGAAATACCATTTTCCAGTACTACTGAGCTCTAATGATGCGAATACACTATCACGTGACATGTGGTGTTACAAGAAATAGATGTGATGCACTGCTTAACAATATAAAATAGATTTCTTTCTACTGTTAGGCTGATTGGGCTACCTTAACTTTCCAAAACCCGATATGATTCATAGATACAAAGATTGAATCGGTAGTCCGTCGATCAGCTGCAAGTAGTAAGTTTCTCTGGGATTCCAGCAATTACTTTAGGAATTAAAGAATATAAAACCCGGGGATTATAAGAACAAATACCTTTTGTATAAAAACATTGGTATCATACGGTCAACATATCAAACTATCAAACTTTTTAGTTCCATCCCCTACGTAGCATCCCATTGTCAATACGTCAGCCATCTTTTCTACTTTCTTCTTGTATAATTTGATATGGATCGGGATGAAAAAACCTACGTTTTCGACGCGTGCTTCAAAGAGCAAAAGAAATAATTGTTTTTAAAAAAGCACCCTATGTTCACTGGTATTCCTTGACAACAGAAGTAATACTCCACCACTAATTCCAAACTATTTATTCAAAAAACAGTATTTGCAAGTTAAAAACTAAACACTGGCTAGTTGATTATGAGTTCATACAATAATTTACAATTAACAGAATACTGTTAATTATTTTTTCTCTTTTTATTAGTAGTAATTTATTTGCCAACCTTGTCAAATTCATTTCTCTCTTTGCTGAGAAAATGGCAATTATTATGCTAGAAATATGCAGTTACTTGATTGCATCAAAGCTGATGTTACGTATGATATTTCAACGATACGAGTCTTGAGTTGATAGTTCATGCTACACGAGTGGAGTTCTTTTTAATATTCCTTACAATTTTTCATGACAAATAATCAAAACTGTGGAAATTGTGTTTGTTGACGATCCTGGTTTCTGATTAACAAAAAATATTTTACACTCGTCAAATCAGTTGCTGTATCTTCTTTCAAGTTGCAAGTCTTTTGAAGCTGAAAAATCCTCGCCACGTGTTGACACATCCATAAATCTAAGAATTTGGTTATTTTATCAAAAAATCGCCTCGTGTAGCATCGACTTTATGCTTCTGTATCGTCAGTTTTCAAATCCTCACTAATTTTACCGACTCTTATTCCACATTCAACACTACTGTTATCATTGAGATCTTTATTTTCTGAACTCAAAGCACTATTGTCTTCACYGGAATTCTCAAACGAAGGCAGTGAGTATAAGCAATCATGGCTGTTTTCCAGTTGAGCAAGGTCCAAGTACTCGTCATCGCCCTGTAGAAGCTGCTCAAAATCTTCRCGAAGTT